TATATATAGGATTTAATTCCTATAGATTGTCCGCTAGAATTAGCATTAAGTGACTGATTTTAAAAGAGTTGCTTATCTTAGTATTTATTGCCAAATATTACTACACTGAGTTTCCAAATGAGAATCGACTTCACCACAGTATTGAATGGTTCGCGCTACACCAACTACTTGTGTATCTATATGTGTGAGATATTTCATGTGTCTATATGTGTGAGATATTGTCTGTCAGATTATAATATATTCTAATCATTTACTAGCATCTCTTGCATCTGTTCATACCTTTGTATTGGTCGTAGGCGAAGAGTTTGCTATTAATCAATCAAGAAGTTAAATTTGCAACTCAAATAGTCGATATGATATATTATCAAATTATTCTAGTTTTCCAGAATAACTCCTGACTTATGTCCCTTGGCTAAATTACGCTACACCGTTAAGTTATTGAAAATCTGACGCCATTCCGCCTGTTTAAGATTGATTTCACTGTCGAAAACGAGATGTCAGCCTGAACGAGAAAATTTGAAACCCATCTTCTACAAAACTCATATACAGTTTTTTTTTTATTCGAATTCAAGATGCACAAACTTTGATGTGTCAATTTTAGGAATCAGACTGTGTTCGCTAATAACTAATGTTATCAAGCATTGACCTTTCTTGACGGCAAAATACCATACAATTTGCTTCCTTTGTAGGCAGTCAATCGCCGTCCAATGTAGACAACATTCTTTACTGTGATATTCCGTTCTAATAGGAATATATACTTGAAAAACAAGGTGGATAAAATAAGTAAAGGTTTATTGTAAAAAACCAGTACAATAAGAATAAAGGTAACAGTTATGCACAAGATCGTCGCAAGTCAATCCAGTAATGAGTGCTGCTATTGGAACGTCGGTAGTTCTCGCGTAAATCTGAGTCGTACTCAACAGAGCCCAGCTAGAAATATTTACCAACCTCCGCACGGGATAGGATATGACACAAGGCCGAATTTAATGTGGTGCAATCCGAGCCCGTAGGCTCAGCCAAAAAATCCCCGTAAACACCATATAAAAGGGTTCGGGTCTGTCTACTTCCCCGGACGAGACTCTGCCCTTCGATCATAGCCTCGTCTGGGTTCCTCTCTGCCTTCGAACAGAGAGTTCGACAACAGCTAAGAGCTGAGTAACAGATCGCAACTGGACAATATTTACTACCCCCCGTTACGTGGATAGATGTGGCACAAGGCCGAGTTTAACGTGGGTCATCCGAGATCGTAGTCTCGGCAAAAATTTTCCCGTAGAACTCGCATAAACGGGTTCGAGTCTGTCTACCTCCCCCCAACGAGACTCTGCCCTTCGGCATAGCCTCGTCCGGGTTTCACTCTGCCCGAAAGCAGAGAGTTCGAAAGCAGCTGAGAAACAGATTGCAGCTAGTCAATATTTACTAGATCAACGAGGGTAGATGTCGCACAAGACCAAGATTAACTTGGGTCATCCGAGCTCGTAGGCTGGGCCAAAAATTCCCCGTATAACCCGCATAAACGGGTTCGGGTCTGTTTACCTCCTCGAACGAGACTCGTCCCTTCGGCGTAGACTCGTCCGAGTTCAACATCAGCTGAGAAACAGATCGCGGCTAGTCGGTATTTACTAGCCTCCCCAAGAGGGTAGATGTGGCACAAGGCCAGATTTAACGTGGGTCTTCCGAGGCCTTAGGCTCGGTCAAAAAATCCCCGTAGAGCCCACCTAAATGGGATCGGGTTGGTCAACATCCCCGAAAGAGAGTCTGCCCTTCGGCATAGCTTCGTCCGGATTCCTCTCTGCCAGAAAGGAGAGAGTTCAACATCAGCTGAGAGCTGAGAAACAGATCGCGGCTAGTATATTTAGCTACCCCCACGAGGGTTGCATATGGCACAAGGCCGGTTTAACGTGGGTTCTCCTAGCCCGTAGTCTTGGTCAATAATATTCCCTTTTTGAATCCGTATAAAGGGTTCAGGGGCAGTCAACCTCCCCGAACGAGACTCTACCCTTCGGCGGAGCCTCGTCTTGGTTCCTCTCTGCCCGAAGGTAGAGAGTTCGACTGTCTAGCTGGAACAGGTCGCAGCTAGTATAATTAGCTAACCACCCCCACGAGGGTTGCATATGGCACAAGACCGGTTTAACGTGGGTTCACGGAGCCCGTAGACTGGGCCAAAAATATTCCCTTTTGAAGCCATATGAACAGGTTCAAGGGCAGTCTATCTCCCCGAACGAGACTCTGTCCAGGTTTAGCTGGAACAGGTCGCAGCTAGTCTCTGTAGTCCGTTAACTTACAGATACTTATAGGTAATTACTACCTATAGTGTAGTCACTCGTGGGAGTGACAGGTTATTCCATTACATCATTTACCCAAAGATTTTGCTTATATTTCTTTCTCAGAACTTAAGATAGGCACATGTTTTGTCTGATATAAAGGCTGCGAATATAGCTATATTGTTAGGGCGTATAAATAAGGTACTAGAACTTGTGGATTATCCTACTTGACTTTCCTAAAAAGCCGTCGCTAGGGGGACATTCCTTAAGCCTATGAATAGGGAATTATATTCCCACTCTTTTCTCTTTTGCACAACTCCGTCTATAAGATGTCGTCGTACGTAGAAAAAAGTGCCCCCTCACTGGGGAACGTTCATTTTCAATGTCTCTTATTATTTTTTGCACTCTTCAACACAAGTGGCTATCATTCCCTAATTTAAATGCTTTCCATGTATCTAGTCTTTAAATGTTCTCTTGTTTATTGTATATGTAATACCTTTGTTAATACCTGTGTAATGACAAAAGTACGCAGGTGTAGGCTTTAAAAAAGCTTTATTCAATTGAGAATACAAGGTTCTCGTATAGTATCCTTTTATAGTCCCAGTAAACAAAAATAGCTCTCTCAAAGAGGACAGTAACCAAACAAGGAGAACCCACTCTTTGATTATTCCTAACAACATGTATTGTCATTTGTTTTATATATGGTCTTTGTGTGATTCATTTATTACTTGAATTCACTTGTTTATAGTGGCGTAGGGCTTCGGGGTTAAAATGGACAGTTGATTTACCCACGCCAAGAAGATTAATGAAGGATGGTAATGAAGAGGAAATACACGGGTAATTTTAGCAAAACAAGATAAAGAATTTATTTATGAATTTTCCCGCTTGAAGTTGTCAGTAGATCGTTTCAGGAAAATAAATCAGATATTTTTAAAGTTCGTAGTTTTAACGAATTGTCATGAAGAGGAAATATTCATACAACAGATTCAATGATCTGATACAAAATAATATTTAAAATGTTTAAAACAAACGTATGAGAGTTGCATACGTCTAAAAGTAGAATAACAGAGATAGTTTGAAATACTTAGCTTTCTTGGATTATTGAAATAAAGTTCTTTGAAGTTCAAAGTGTTTGGTTAAGGTCGATAACATATAAAAAAAAATTAAGGAGAGTTTATGTGTGGGATTGAGAAACAAGTGTGAGAGGGAAATATATGAAAGCTCTAGAGAAACAGAAGAAAAAAGAACAGGAATGCCTAAAGATGAAGGTGGGGATTCAAATTTAACAGAGAGAAGTTTTAAAGAGACGAGTTAAATAACGGTTTAAATGAGTGAGATACAGATAAATATGAATTATTTTTCGATACATAATTCGCTACCGAATCGCTGACCTAAAAATAAAAAACAAACACCGGAAACGTGTAGATACATTTGTGGTGATACTAGGCACAATAAAAATTATATGATCTAAACTTAAAATCCAGCCAATTCATACTGCCGATGCATACATGACAATTTTCCGTCTGATTTGCATTACTAAAGTTATGTATACATGAAAAGAGAAGATGAAAGGAAAAAAAAAGTGGGGGCGAATATATATATATATATATATATATATATATATATATATATATATATATATATATATATAAACGTATTATATTAGGCATATATATATTTTATATTATAAAGAAATAATCATATATGGAATCAATTAGCAATATTAATGCGATTAATGGCGAAATCTCTTCGCTAGTAGACTTAATATAAGCATTAACCTACTAACAATCCACTGAATGATGCGATCCTTATGTATAAATTTGTTGTCAGATGGATGTAGTGTATTTTTTATAGCAGCAAGTACTTTCAAGGACTTCATGTCCTCATCATCAGGCTGTAATTTTTTTCTTTAAAATCAAAACTTGAAGACGAAATAAATGTGTTGCAGACCGAAAGATGTTTTTTTTAAGAATGTGTTATTTACTAACGGTTGTATAATATTGGAACGTGCAAGTCGCAACGCTAAAGTTCAAATATTTCAAGTGATAATTTTTTATATGAATTTTGTAATTTGGTAAATCCACCAATTCTTTTGTTGTAAGTGTTTTCCAGTTAATGTGACATGAACAAAATTCAGTTAATAGAGTGATGTGTCTTAGTAGTTTTTTTTTTTTATTTGTTTTATTTTTCTCCGGAATTTCGTACTGCGGATCAATTGTTAGTAGTTTAATGCTTATATTAAGTATATTAGCGAAGAGATTTCGCCATTAATCGCATTAATATTGCTAATTGATCAATGTATGATTATTTCTTTATAATATATATATATATATATATATATATATATATATATATATATATATATAATAATTAATATAAAATCACTCTCTAAATATGTAGTGTTATGGTCCTGTTTCTTATACAACGGTGATGGTCCAAGGTAGAACCAAATAAGAACTCGAACACGTATATGGAATAACACAGATATATTACAAACAGAAATATATACAGAGAGGTAGAAAGTGTTAGTACGAACAATCATGTTTAGTAGTAATTGTCTGAACGCGACTCTGTTTCGGACTGCCTTTGACTTGACTGACTGACTCGCTCGATCTGACTGACAGACTTCTAACGGACTTCACTCCAAACTTCAGACTGAACTCTCTGCTTCCTCTTGAGGCGCAGTATTTATTACGTATGGAATAGTCCATTATGTTATTATGGGTAAAGTCCCATAACAGATAGATAGATAGATAGATAGATAGATAGATAGATAGATAGATAGATAGATAGATAGTAATTTGACACTGGCGAAAATCTGAACTCTAGACGCATGAAGAGAAACGAAACCTTTCACAACACTTCGGATATTCTTCTCTTGTTAATTTTTTTCTCCATTTTATATAAAAAAATTTCGCTCGCTATTTTCTTTTCTTTCTTTTTTCTCGTCTCAATGGCTAACTTCTGTGTAAAGGTTTTCATTGGTCAAAAAAAATTACATAGGCTCCGAATTTGTTTTCTTCTTTCCGAATTTGAAGGGAGTGAGTAAAAGGAGATATAATTATCTTGTATTCGCCACGTTTTTTCTACATAAACACAAACGTTCCCGTCACAAACTTATATAATGATCCGTGCAAACAAATTTTACTTGTTTTTATGATAACGTTTCAACCGCTAGACACTCCAGTCTTCCTCACTTATGTAAAACTCATCTAGCTAACTCGAAGTGCAATCCTTTGTGTACGAAGTGCAGACATATACTCCACCTTAACGTAAAGGTAAATGACCTCCATAAGGAAAACATTATTCCTGGAATTTCCACGGAAGAATGGGAAACCTATAGGAACAAGAAAAACACGCACCTATTGATCAAATTAAAGTTTCGTTACTAAAAGGTTACTGAATGTAATAAACAACTGAGGATGGTGGTAAAATGTAGGGACTCAAAGGTTGTGGTCAAAACAATAAAACCTATCTGAAAAACGCTCTCTTTATAATGAACAATTTGATTTTTTTTTAATGTTTGCTTCTGACAAAATAGTCGTTTTTTACAGTAATGTTAATTCCCTTGCAAAAGGTATGAAGTTATCTCTTTTTCACCTAAAAATGTACAATAGCAGAACCGGGTAGGCTCCATAGCTTTGGGTGGCATCCAGTCTAAGAAAAAGAAAACTCTGAGTTCCACTGTCCTTTAAAAAAACATGGCAATTCACAGATATTAAAGGAAACTGTAGAAACCCATGACTGACTGCGTTTAAAGAGATGTGGTATTCCAGAACAAAACAATAAGTGGCCTTATGCCAGACAAAATGATACTAGGTTACAACACACCTACCTCGGTATTTGTGAAATATGAATTGATTATCTTTTTAAGTTATGTCTTCTCAAGTTGTGGCATCCCATATATTCCTTCTCTTTATTATCTGTAAAATCCATGCTTTCTTGGGAAACATGGTTGAATGGAATCCTGGTTTTCACGGTTTTCAAATCAGACTAGTCCTTCTGATATTTTCCAAGGCTAGAGAATCCAGTCTAGCCCACAATTTGCCAGACACGCATTGGTGTGTGTAAAGAGCTGGACAGGGAGACGTGTAAGATTCATGTCTTTTCCGAGGGCATTAGTGTGAAGTAAATGCAATTGGAACATGGTTCCCCGATTCTACTTACCGCATCGATAAATGTTACGCCCCTCGCATATCATTTACGTCATGTGTAGAAGAATAAAAGATCTTTTTGATTGAGCGAAAAGCTTTTTCAAAGAAACGATTTTGCTCGTTTGGAAAGAAAGAAAGGTGAACGAAGACGTTTTTGTTTTTTCTGTTACATTTGAAGTTTCGGACGATATTGACGTCATCA